AAATGGCTCATACAATTTAAAATATTCTTTAAAATCTTGTCAGGGATTTATGGATATTTATATGTGGTAGAGACTTTGCCCTTAAATAATCTGGTATCAAAGACCTAAATAATAAAATCTAATCACACACCACAAATGGTATATAAATAGATTTGTAAGTAGATCAAAATCCTCTGGACCAGCTCCTCCACTCTAACCTTCCCCTGGTTTCCCAAACATGCTAGAGCTAGGGTGACAGGCACTGGGGTGGAAATGCTCTGGAGGGTATAACTGTATACTGGGGGTCTCCTTTGGGGAAGAGCATGATGCCAAGCCTAGCATCTGAAATTTTAAAAAGTGTAACATCAACCTAAGCAAGGGATTCAATGGAAGAAACATAGCCTATCTGACACGGTTCCCTAACCATTGGTGTGTACAGGCTATCAACGACCAACCATGGAATGGCTTTTGGATTCCTGTTCTTCATAATCAGGCAAGAAATTCTCATGGGATCTTTTCCTGACCTATCTCCTCAAATTCCCTTGAAATAGGTATCCTTTCTCTAGCCCACATCTAAGTTAAAGTTTTCTTTATATTTATGTCCCTCTCTACAGATCACTGGCTTACTGACAGCATAAACATAACCTCAGTTCTCCCTGTTAATAATGACCTAAGATCCAGCTGGTATATATAATGTATTCAGTAAGTTTTCTGGAAGAACTAAAAACATATAAGGAGTTGTTGGAAAGAATTATTTTTAGCATCTTTAGAAATATGTCCTTCCTGTTATTAAGCACAGCATAAAAGACATTGCTAGATATTCTTTTCCCATCAAAAACTAAATAATGAAAATTATAATAAAAATTTCCTGTTGTCTTAGAAAGGAAATTTGATACCACCAATTAAGTTCTGAGACCTATAAAATCATTCTGATATCATTAGTAATAAAAGTCTCAATTCTGTTGTTTTTATCACATTATCTCCCTAAAGTGTTCACTAACAGTGTCTATCTAAATGAGGAAATCTGTAGGTTAGTGATTATACTTTGGTGAGTGCAAAAAAAAATGGGCAGGATATCAAAACTTTTATCTCTGTCAAAGTGGAGGGAAAAAGATAACATTTCCTTATGTAATAAATAAATGGATGAGTGGATAAGTCAGTAAATGAACCAATGAGAATAGCAACAGCAAAAACAGAAGAAAAATTATAATAAATATGTAGTAAGATAACACCTCTATATATCCATTCCATAGACACATGCCTATGTGGTATCCATACATATATGATTATTTTTTCTCATTTATTGAAGAAATAAATGATAAATATAAAAATATATATTAATACACTATGAGGACCAGATTGGGTTGGAGACAGATTAAGATGTAAGAACACTATGCTTCTGATCATGTTAATTCATTAGTTCTCTTCAGCCAATACATCTAGTTAAGGTGGCACTTTCCCTTTTCTTTACATCCTTATGGATTCTTCCCAAATCTCAGTTCTTAGGCAAGGAGGATGAAGTCTACATCAGTGTGATGTCTTCCTGTTTTCATGGTTTTGCATGAGGTACTTATTGTTCTGATTCTGTTCCACCACTGTTCACATGGAATTCACGTCTCACTTGATGATACTGCTTTAAAGATTAAATGGAATATTATCTTCATATACCTCATGAGGCTAACAAGGCACAAGGCATGGGGTTGATGCTCTCAGAAGCTCCTTGTACACAGTAGAGACTAAAGCAATGTACATGAAACAATATGAAATTATGTTGGGCTACCCACACACAAAAGTTATTTCTACATATGTGAAGGGATAAACATTTTATTGAATATTAATTACATAAATGTTGTAGACCTCTTTCCTTGTCTAACTTTCATCCCTGATCAATAAGGTTAGTAAACATAAACCTCTGAAGTCAGAGAAAGCTGTGATAAAATTATTGCAATTATTTGTTTTTCTTCTTAAATCACATAGATAATCACTAAAGGCATAATTTTTTTTTAAAAATGCAGTATTTAATTAGTGTGGGATCTCTGTGTCAGTGCTAGTCCAAATATCAACTAATATGTTAACTTTTTTTCTACTGCATTCACAGAAATGCCCACATGGAAAAATAATAAAAAATATATACTTATATATTATTCTTATAAAAGGCAGAGATCACTGAACTCCCTTTGTCCCTTCCTCCCTCCCCTCCTCCCTTTCTCTCTCTCTTTCTCTCTCTCTCTCTCTCTCTCTCTCTCTCTCTCTCTCTCTCTCTCTCCTTTCTTTCTTTTCCACTGATGCTCATATATGCCAAAATACTTAGTTAAAATGCATGTACAAATACTGGTATATTTTAGCATCCGTAGAGAGGCCCAAGACTTAAAATTTTTAGAAAATGGATAAAATTGTAGCTCTGAGATGTTTCTTAGGTTACTCATCAAGGCCAATAACTGTTAAAATTACACATTAAGCAGCATGTGTTTTCAGCAGTCTCACACCTCCCTCGGGAACTCCCTTCTTACCATTTCACATATTCCCAATAATGGTCAATATTCCCTTATGCAGAACACAACTTCTTTTTTCTTTGGTACCATGAATCAAACTCAGTGCCTGTTCTTGCCAAGCAGTCTCTGTGCCACTGAGCTGCATCTCCAGCCCAGGGCACAAGTTCTGAATTCTAAAATCTTACATTTGGAGTCAGTCACCACTACCTACTAGTGTGTGAGCTTGCATGAGGGGAAGCCAACTCCATAAGACTTGGTGTCACATCTGTTCAATTAGGTAAGCTAGCTCTGTTTTGCTTGTCTTATATGTAATTTTCAAAAATGAAAAATATACATCTCATTGAAGCATGCAGTAAGACATCAAAGCTTTATCCTAAGCTGATTATGAGGGAAGAAAGACAGATAAAGCTTGTTCAAAGAACAGTTAGAGAAACTGAACATACAAAGCTCTGAAAAGGAAAAGGAAAAATTCTGGAATAAGATTACTAAGTAACTTATATAGTTATACTTTCCACTAGGTGGAAAGAATTTATATGTCTACCGCACAAAATATATCTCAAAACATATTTTTATGGAATTATGGTTCTAATCAGTAGTATGACAATCAAAAGTACTTTCACCTAGAGAAGTCAATAATTCTTAGGCAGACGTGTTAGACAGTGCTCCGGTAAAACTTTTAATATATATGAAATAGTTCTATTGTATATACTTTCCATATTTGGGACAATAGTTAACAAATATTATGGGTATTTATCAAAATTTTTAAATGTTATTTTCATACTTTATTGTTACTATAATTGGTATTATTGGTATCAACACAATCGGTACTTTTATTTTGAGGAATCCTAGAAGTCTATATGAAGTAATTTCTTTCATTTTTAAAAAAACCTTGATGAAAGTCATGGAAATGAGCATAGAGTTTCAAAACTGTAAGAAGACTTTAACATACAATGAAAATACACAAGAAAATAACGTGTTTTCTGTAGAAATTTTGAATACTGTGAGGACAAAGTGAAGCTAGCAACTATGTATAATTCTTCCCAGGAAGAAAGAAAAGACCTGGATAAAATCTTTCTTCACAAATGTAGCCAGGCAGCGAATAACCAGAAAAAAAAATGGGCTTTTGAGCTGAAGAATTAGATATAAATGTTTAGCACTGAAATAATGGATCATACTTGGAGAATTAAAAGAGTTTATTATGAAAACAGCAAGGAGAAAACTGATGAGACATGAGAATAGGAAAGTGAGGTATGGTGAACTTGTTAAATATTCTCCCTCATATTCACAGAAATTGCAAACAAACAGCCTCACGGCATTATAGGGAAAGAAGAATGAACTAGAAGTCCCCTAAGTTCTAGAACCTGTTCAGTCAATTACTAACAGCAATTAATTGAAACATTACTTCACCTAGTTGGCCACAATTTTCTATCTGTAAAATGAGTGTTTCTGGACCTCATAAGCTTCATGGCCTCCATAGCATGCTGAAAGGTTGGACAGTAGATTTTGCAGCAGAGTTATTAAGTGTACATCCAGGAACAACAGTTTGGGATGTAAAGTGAAAAGAACAATGAGGAACTGAAGGAATGCTTGAGCCATGATGCAAGTCCGGGGGAAGCCTCAGCCAGCTTCACTAAAAGTTCTACAGGTTCTACGGTCCCTCAGAGTTGTTCCCATTTAGGCTTCCGTGGACATGTCCTACCTTCTCTTTGACCAACCACTGGGTTACTCCAGAGTGGGGTGAACCATTGAGCAAAGCGGCTCTCAGGGTGGCACAGTGCCTTAAAGGCTGGCGATAAAAAGCCACTGCCTAATATCAACCCTCAACAGCCAAGAAAGGAAGTCTTCAGAGGAAATCTTCGGGGGCACCTCACAAGGTCTGTCACAAGGGACTCCAGAGTTATTCATATTTTGGTGTGTTCATTTGGGTCCCCCTCTTCTCTTCCCTACCCCTACTCTGATTCACCTATGTGAAATTACTCACAGATTCTTGAACTTGCCCTAAAAATGTACTTTTTGTTTTTACCATCCCCTAGCTCTACTAACCGTATAATCTTTTTTTTTTTTCCTTCCGGTACCAGGAATCAAACTCACCACTTTGCATTTGCCAGGCAGGCACTGTGCCGCTGAGCTAAATCCCCAGCCCAACCCACACAGTCTTAATAGGTATTATATCTTCTAGATGCTTTTTAGAACACCCCAATTGTGGTGTAAGTTGCCTATCACTATACGATATTCATCATTCTATTTTTATGCATCAGACTCTCCTTAAGAATATATTAACATTTTGTATTGGAGCTTTATCCATCTTTCTAGAACAGGAGGCATACACATAGATAATAACATATGCATCTTTGCTTAAAAAGATACATAAGTGAATACAAGAATTTCAGAGATAATAATTTAGAATGAAGTTACAAGTCTCTCAATCTTTAAAGTGAAGAAACTATCCTGAAAATTAAAGAAAAAATTTGAAAAGAATGAGGAAAAGAAAATACCAGTTTAGCAAGCACATCATTATACATTGTCGTCATTATATATGAAGTCATGGATTGAAGCGGAACCCTGGCAGGGGTGGGAATAGGGGTAGGGGTTTGGGTTGAAGGTGTGGTGCTATGTAGGACTCATGATTTTATTTTCATCACTTTGTTTCTTAGTGCTGTATTCTAATCTTGAGCTTTGATTTCTTCTCCTCTGCTATTGGTCTCTTCTGGAATTAGAAGTCGAGAGAAAAAAAAAGAAAAACAAAAACTTTCATGCATGACTTTACTGTTGCCTAACCTATATGCAGAAATCTTAAATCAATATTTTGTACAAAGTTGTTAGAATGCCTCTGCTCCTGATCTTTCAAGTATTCTAATCATACAAGCTTATTTCTAAAATACGTTCTAATGGTTTTTATAGTACTCTTTCCTTCAGTCAAGTGTTTTCAAGTATTTAATCTTTTTTTAATCATGAAAACAGCCTGGTGTGGGCTCTACTAATGTCTATATTTTTCATACAGAACAGAATACTTGGCCAAACAGCCAAAAATTTGCTTAAGTTCACACAGTTGGTTCCAACCTAGTTCTAAAACCAGTTCTTTGAATTCAAAGTCCATTGTCCTTCCTTCTTCACCTATATCAAATGAGAGTCCTACCATGCTGTTTTAAACCCAACTGTTAGAGGTATATTTATTTGTAACTCATAGATGTTGATGCTCCAACCATTACAGGAGAAATATTCTTGAATGAACTATGGGTGCAATGACTAAACAAAAATAAGAAAATAGTAGCAAGTGTAACACCATAACATCTAATGGTTTAAAACTATCATCTTCTCTACTTTTTCTGGCTACATTACAGGTGAAAAAAATCAAGGCTCAGAAGGGTTGAGGTCCTTTCTGAAGACCAGTTATGGAAAAACTGCAACTTACACTCAGTTCTTTCCTGCTCCAAAGCATCTCATCTTTAAGTTATGCCATGTGTTATATTCATGTACCTTCCAAATTTCAAACTTTCATCCTCCTTCACACTTAGAAAACAGCATCAACAAGTTTAAATCTGTCCAAATTGCTCTGGTCCCTTGTGGGAACCGAAGTCAAGTCCCCACCTGCCATTCTAAGTGAGATTGCTAGATCCAGAGCTATGCATCATTTAAGATCATTAGTGTAAAATCAATAGCTGCAGGAAATAATTGTAGCTATTCCTGCAACCTTGCCCCCTGTGGTACTTCATCCTTGAAGGTTATTTAATTAAAGTCCAAGCACGATGGGTTAGCTGTGGGATGGTGTATAAAGTGGAATTGACACAACACAGGAAAACAACTTTCACTACTAGCATAGCTCAGGAAAAGAAGGACTCACAATACTTGCAACCAGAAAACCTAGGCTTCTGTGAAGCGTACTGCTTTGCTGGTGGTTAGATGTTCTTCAGTATTGTGAGGAAGGAAGTCTATGCCACAAATGGAAAGTTGTTATTTAGTAAATATTATCTGGAATGCTACTGTATCCTAAACTGTCAGGCTATAACAAAGCCAAATGTGACATCAATTAACTTCCAGGAATTCATATTTGAATAAAGACAAATGACCCAATAGTTATGCCTCTTAGTATGTTTAGCCTGCTAAGACAAAATAAGATGGGGTGTCTTAAGCAACAGAAGCTTATTTCTCTTAGCTTTGGAGGCTGAGTCTAAAGTCAGGATATCAGCATGGTGGGTTCTGTCAAAGGTCCACTTCCAAATGTGAGACTCTTGACATTTTTATCCTCACATAAAGTTTAGAGGGCCAAAGAGGTCTCTGGAGCTCTCCTCCAAAGGTACTAAGATCATTCGTGCAGGAATCCACCCTCACAGGCTCATTGTCTCCCCAAAATCCCACATTTAACATCACCATGTTAAAGTGAGGGTCCCAACATGAGAGTTTCCCTGAGACACAGCATTCAGTTTTTTGGATAACACAAGCCAGGTGTCTTGTGATTGGACAACTCCATAATCATGACAGCAGGATACATCTTCCAACTATCTCAGTGATTTCAAATCTGGTAAATTTGGCAGAGTTAGTAAATTTGAGGTTTTGTCTCATGACACATCTTTCCTAAAGTCAGGTAACAGGTTGACTTCTACTCCAGCATCCCTGGTTTCAAGTGCCATGGTTCACACTTCCTTTGGCAATGTTTGCTTTCCTTCCACTGCTTTGGGATCATTTTACACCTTTCAGTTAATACTGCTGCCCTTCTGTCCCTACAGCATACTTTTAATTACTTAGTTCCAAGCATAAAGTCAGTACTCACTTTATTAAAGTTCACAAAAGAGTAGAAACATCCTTTGTTTACTCAATCATTACTTTAATAAATACTTATGGAGAGTGTGGTAAGAAATGGAGTGGTCAGTTGTAGCTTTTTATTAATACAGAAATAATTAAAATAGAAAGCATGCTTCACTATCAGAATGAATTGTGGTTTCATTTAATTAATATAGCAGACAATTTCAGTGTTCCCTACAAATGCCATGTATTATTTAAAATGCCATGGATATAACAAACAGGAAATGAACCAAACAAGGTTATTTGTCCTGAGGACCTTACATTCCAACTATGGAGAAAACAATAAACTGGAGAAATAAAAATAAATAAACTTAAATATATATATTTTAAAATATATTTTAAAATAAATAAATTTAAAATTAAATAAATAAATGACTCTCTTTAAAAGTTCCACTAAAAAAAAAACTAATTAATAGGATCAGTGATTGTAATGGGTGAAATGTCTTACTGATGGGGTGGTCATGGAAAACCATTATATGAAAGTGAGAGTGTGGATCCAACCTTCCACAGGATCTTGAAGACTTAGCAAAAACAAACACTAACCTACAGGATTCTCTTCAGGACTATAGATAGCCACAACTCATCTCAAAGCCTGCGCCTCTGCCATCGAACTGTGTATGTATATTTTGTATTGTCAACTTGAAAAAGAACTAAATTTCCTAAAACTCATTTCCCTGTGTGAACTGAGTAACAATTTCCTGGAGGAAATTTTGAGAATTCAAAGGCAAAGTAGGGAGCTATCTTTGCCTTTTAAATGTCTTTGATCAGACTCTAAGGGACAGATGAACTGTTCTCCTTTCCTTTGCACTCCCCAATCCAGTTACATTATCTGTTCTGATTACTGGCTTTGTTTCCCAACTGCCTATGCTTGCCACTGCAACAGAATTAGGAAGAATTTCCCATAGACATCTCCCTGAATCGTCCCTTTGTGATCCTACCTGGCAGATGGGTCTGGGTGTCATCCAAGACACCACTGTAATCCTGGATGTGTCCGAGAATGTCTACATTGCAGAGAAACAAGGAGAAATTTTAGCTTCTTTGTTAAACTTGAGTGTTCCTTGCTCTTCACACAAAGTGTTAATTTCTCATTCTTTTTAAGTAACGTAATGCTATCTCATTTAGGGTAACTCTGCTTCTCTGAAAGATAATCCTATTGATCCTGGAAGCAGTTCTAAAGGATCATAACGTTAAGGGTGAAATAAAAAATTGATTTTCTAATGAGAAAGATTTAAAGCCACTAATACTGCAGGTACTGGTAGCAGAATGCAAGTTCTTGGCATGCAACGGAAAAAGCAGTGATTTTAGTTATTTACCAGTGATCTGGAATCAAATGTCTAGCAAAAATCTTGAGAGGCCATAAATACTTTAGGAGAATTAAAATGTATAAAGGTATAAAGCTGGTTGTTCGTTGCTGGCAAGTGCATGTAAATACAAGTAAAACCGGGAAAATGAGGAACAGTTGGAATTGTCAGTGGAAGCTCTTGTTTTCGGTTATTGTTTGTTTGTTTCTGGTACTGGGAATTGAACTCACGACCTTGTGCTTGCCAGGCAGGTGCTGTGCTGCTGAGCTAAATCCCCAGGCCAGCTTTTCTTTTCATGTTTTCAAAAACTATGACGTTTTTGCAATATTTTCTCCTCATATAGGCAACTAAATACTAATAAAATTTTCCAGTCTCTGGAAATCAATCAATGAATTGAAACAATTTGAGAAGCATTCGTAAACAACAAACAAACAAACCAAAACTCCAGCTGCTCACATTCCACCCCCAAAAAAAGATTTGTGACATTTTATCATAGTCTACTTTCACTGGGTCGCACCAGTAGCATAGCAGCCTTCAATGCCATGTCTTGGAACCATAGGACAGACAAGGTTTGGGTCACTTTAAAAAGCTTCATTTGCAGACCGTTGTTGCTATTTGATGCTTCCCAGTTTCATGGCAGAGCCCCATTCAAAGGCTTGGTTATTATTTGAACTGACTCAAAACTGATCCAATGGGAAAAAAACATATTCATAAAACATTTATGGAAACTAATGAGCTACAACTGTCTAAAATGCAAGCTACCTAAATCTACGGAGAAGCTGGAGACAACCAAGAGTGAGATAAAAAACTTAAAAGTAATGTCTAGGGAAAAAGATGCACATGAGGAGTTGTGAAAATTCTAATGTGTTCTTTATAAATTAAAAGGGCAAATTCATGCGCAGGACTGTAGCTGTGCTTAACAGAATCTCAAAAGGGCACCAATCTCTAATCTTAAAATGTCCTTGAATATCTGAGGAAGAAGAAAAGGAAGGATAAAGCAGGTTGGTAAACTGCTAAGGATTTAAGACATGTTTCATAACACAGAACCTTCAGCAGACAATGAAAAACTTATAGACTCCAGACCTCTAGAAAAATCTCTGACCAATTCTTAACTGATCATTATGCTAACTAAGCATAGACTTATTACAACTCCTGAAAGGCACACAGACTTAATAAAATTTGTTCAAGAAGGTCATTAAACAGATAGTGGCAGTAAAAAAAACAAAACGCCAACAGCAAACCCTAGGAAGGAGCAACATATGATTTCAAGAGTGATTTATACAATCACTCTATTGTATAAAATGTTCAGTTTTCAGTGAAAATTTTTAAGCATACAAAGAAACAAAAGAGGATGATTCATACAAACAAAAATAGTCCTTTAATACTCATCCTGAGAATTCTCAGTTCTTGAACTGTGTAAACAAATATTTTAAATCAGTTTCTATGGGTATGTTCAGAGAATGCAAGGCATGTGAGTATGGAAAATGTTTGAAAGGTCTAAAAGTGGTGTCTTATCAAAACCAAATATTATCAGTAATCTAAATTTTTGTAAAAGGAGAAAATAAAAGTTCATAAATTAAAACATATAAAAATTGAAAGGAAGTATGAAATGCAGAGATCTAAGAACCAATCTGAGGTGGAAAAAAAAATCAGGCATGTTTAAGGCAGGTCCTTTGAGATCATCCATACTGAGAAATAGTAATCCAAAGAATGCAAAGGATATGCAGAGCCTCTCTGGAAACTCTGCTCTTGACTTTATCCCTTGCCTTCTGAGTCAGTGCATCATCTGGGAAAAGAGATTACGGTGGGAAAATCAGTGTTATCATACAAACTGACCTGAAGTATTTGAAACAAAAGAATAAGGACTCATTTTATTGGCCAAGAAGACTTCACAAAATTTGTACGTTTGAGGTCCTCTGTTTTGCAATGAGATATTCATAACCCTTATCCAAGTTTTCAGGATTGATGTAGCAAGAAGCTACAGAAAGGCTAGAAATTGTTTGAAGTGCAAAAGAAGTCCTGGAAGAACCACAGCCTTAACTCAGTCAGGCTTAGTGTGTTGGCCTGTTTAGAAAAATTGACCCTTGCCTGTATTTCACCCAGGTGACACTTCTTCTGGGTTCCTGCAGGTCTAATAGTCAAGAAATGTGAGACAAGGAAGCCTCCTGTTCCCCTAGGAATTTGTTTTGTGCAGCTGCTACAGTTTGAGGGTCCCTTGCAAAACATGTGACATTCCAATATGGAACCAAGTAGGACTTTTAGAGGATGATCAGGTCATGGGGATTCTGCTCTAATGAATGGATCAATGGGTAAACACATAACCCAAGAGTGAGTCTATTACAAAATCTACCTTGTCTCACTCTCGTGTCGCTCTGCCCACGTGATGTCCTGCAACACGATGGAACACAGCAGAACACTCTGCCAGTAAGCAGGTCCTCACTAGAAGCAAAATGGATACTGAAATCATGCCTTTGGACCTAAAAGCCTCTAGAACCATGAGCTAACCAAATTTCTATTCGTTATAAGTTTCCTAGTCTCAGTATTTTGATTGAGCAACAGAAAATAGACTAAGCTAAATATAACACGAGAAACAAAACTTTAACTAAAAATCGGCTTGTTGCCATAGAAATGACTTTGCTTTTGCCACTGCTCAGGCTGTCAAAATATCCCTTGCTAAATAAAGAAAGAACTAGATTGGGTAGAAGGAAGGTTTGAACTAGCTGCATTGCAGAATGTAAAGCCAGTGTCCTGGGAAGGGATAAAGTCTATGATCATTTGTCTGCTTGTTTTTTGTTTTGTTTTGTTTTGTTTAATTTCATATAAGCTTGGCATTTAGGAGATTTCTTAACACAGGTAATGTAAACTTCAGAAGTGCTTACCTAGATGGAAATTCAAGTAAATAAGAGTATCCAGAAAAGGAAACATATGTGGAAAGTTTGAGGTGAAAGTGAGAATTAGAGTCCTGGTGTATACCTGGTGCTGGGGTTTGGGATTTAAGATTGTAGCCTGACAGTTATAGTGTCTGTAGAACGAAGGTTTCCCCTCAGGAAAATGAGAACAAACAGTCAAAAATGCCAGATTTCAGGACAGCAAGGATACAGGAAATTACTGAGAGAGTTTGATGTGCTCTCTAAGGTTTGTCATTTTGTCCTGTGCAGTAGAAAAGGATGATTTTCAAAGCCTTGTGGGAAATGGGGTACAGACAATGACTATTTTCTCAGAGGGGATTTGCCATTCCCAGGCTGGAGCTATTTATGTGAAAACTGCCTCGACCATTCTCAAAATAGCAGGTGCCTGGACATTCTTTATAAATGGCTAGAATTGGAGAGCAAGACAGAGGATTCTAATATAAAAATTACTGTTCAGCCAATACGAGAAAAAGATGTGAGATCACCAGAGTAGACTGTTGAAATTTTATCTTAATGCAGCTGTTTGTGACTTTTACTGTGGGCAAACAAAATGTACAGTAATCAATCAGTGTGTTCTGTAAGGCTAAATAGTTATTTGCAGGTTTCATTTTTACAGCTTCTAACATGTTTTCCATAAGAAGTAAGCTATACGTTTTCAGCGACCTTGGATTTACTTCAGGTTAGGTCATTAGATGCTACCAGGGAGTTTTCTCTGAGATTTAAATTGACGATAAAATTTACTGTCACTTCCAATGCTAATGGGACTCAGCTGTAACTTCAGGGTTTCATTTAACCACATGCAAAATGCAGGTTTAGTACAGAACATGATCGAGTGCTAATATTCCTGTTATTGCTTTTGCTCTCATCATTTTCTGCTGTGAAATTAATTGCCATGATTCATACAAAGGACATCAAGTTCAGAGGCAAGAATTGTAAACCACACCCAAACTTGACAATCAGAACTAGAATAACGTTCTTTATTGTTGTGGGGATTGTCTTATTCCCTCTCCTACATTCACAGTATCTATTTGTCATGGCCTAAAGTCCTCTTTAAATATCAAATATATTAATGAACAGGTAAGGGAATAAAATTATGACTAAATTACAGGTGAATGAGTTAATTTTTTAGTGTATTGTATTTTATTCCTCATTCTTCACATAATACAGCAAATATGACTTATACAGTGTTGCTTCATTCCTATTTTACTCATCATTAAAACAAAAGAAATTTATGTGTAGTTGTCTACTAATAAAATGTCATACTAAATATAATGTATACTGTTCCACTGAATAATTAGTTTAATTAACCCGTGTTATCTCTTTATGGATCGGGAGGCTTTCTACTATATCTTACTATTATTAGCAACACTAGGAATATATTTATTCATGAAAATAAATATCATTGTTAACATGTGCATAATAACACTGTAAACATATTCTTATCCTCACACAGATACTTTAACAACCCTCTTACAAAAACATATTTTCCGAGTTTTTCAAAGATTTTTTGTGGAAAAAGTTTGCAGGCTCAAATTTTGCTCCACTGAACAGTTTGCTTTGCTTTTCATCTGTTTTTAGGAAAATTTTCAATTCTTTTCACATTAACATATTATACATTGTAGTCCCTGGAAATCTTTAGAGGTCATTACATGCTCTGGAAGCTGTTTATAAGATTGAAATTTAGACAAATCGCTTTTCCCATATTCCTGGCTGAGTCCCAGAGAAAAAATTACTTGACCAGGTGAGATACAAGTTAGAAGGCAGATATTATTTGAGTTGACACATTTTATTCTTGTATTCATATACTAATTTTTCAAAGAAGGAATACATTTTGGACACCTTCTCCCTAACAAATATTTCAGAAACTTTTCCTACTCCTAGATTTTAATATTGTTTACAATAAAACATTCTCCACTGTAAAGACACTTCTTTATTTTCTGAACTGATTGGATAGCCTAGAGGTTTGTAGGGCAGCATTGAGCACTATGGCTATTTGTTCTTTATTCAAATATTGGTTTAATATCTGATCCCAAAGCCAAGCACAAGGAACCTGCAGTTAAATATGCTGGATTAATTATAAGCTATACATCTTCTTATTTTATTCTATTTTTAACATAAGAACTTCAGATATACAAACTAACTTTAGATTTATAGTACATAGACTTGTATGGGAAACCTAATTTATAAATGTTATACTGATTACTCTATAAATCAAAACCATTAGGTTTGTAAGTCCCATCAAAGGAGGGCTGCAAACTGAAGAATAGTAGTGGCTCTGCAACTTTTCAGATAATTTTCAACCCCACCATGTACTTAATTTCTGCACTATTATAACACATTACTTGGTGTTCTGAAGACTTAACTTCATTCATTTTTTTCTCTCATTTAAGAGGTGAATAATTTTATGTTTTCACTGCTACGTCACTTTATACTTATCATCATGTATCCCAAATGTCATAAAGTAAATATGAAAATTGAAGTCAATCAAATAAATTAAAGAAATCTAATAATGACTGGTATCCACAGTGTAAGACAGTCCCCTGAGCAGAACAGAAGGTGACTCTTCAGCTACTCCAATGTGGCCATTGGATAATCAGTCAAGGAAGGGAGTTAAGTGAAGTAAATTTACCCAAAACAATGAACTACATTTTCTCTTTTTAATTTCAAAACTTAAATGGAAAAGCAAACGTAGTCACATATATTGATCAGTATATCAAGAGGAAAAAGATAAACCACCACTAAATCATGAAGTAGAAACATTGGTAACCCATTCACATTAAACAAATGCTGGGGTAGTGCTGGGGATTTAGCTCAGCGGCACAGTGCCTGCCTGGGAAGCGCAAGGTCGTAAGTATGATTCCCGGTACTGGAAAAAAGAAACCATACATGCTGGGTTTTAATTAGTAATCAGAATCAGTAGCACATTCTTCAATGAAACAAAAAAATTCCCTTTATTCCAAGGTCAATGTACAAGTTCAAGAAATTGAAATTAAGAAAAAAAAAATAAAGATAAACTTCTTTCAGAATGAAGAAATACTTATTAAACAATGAATAAGTAGCATCTTCTCTTAGATATGTGAAATGTAAGCAAATATTTTCCCAACAGCTTTATGTCTGTGTCCACTTAAAACTTTAAATCCCTTTCACAGCTAATGTTTCCTTATTGTGACTACTTTTGTGTGTTTTCTTTTGCGGGGAATGGAAGGGGAAATTAGGTAAGGGTGGTTGTGTTTTATTGGGGGTGGAGTTTGAAAATGTTAAGGAGTTCCTGCCTCGCTTTTGTATGGCTTTGGGAATACAGGCAGGTCATTCAACTGTCCCCAACGTCCAAAGAGTGTTTGCGTATCCTACCTCTGTTCTTCACAAACACCTTACTTCTGCATATTTTGAGCCACTTTCTTCCACACTCTCTCACTTCTCTCTTTCAGATGAACCTGCTTTTTCAATTTAGTCTTTGAACTTAGTCTTGTAGTCTTGAATCCTCTATTCCAAAGGCTCATTTGGGATGTCAGTCTCGGTTGCCAGAATCTCCTCTGGGAATTTCTTGTACTTTACCAGATGGGGATCAGTGATAAGCTACAAAATTACGTATATTTCAGTTTCAAAAAGTGCACGTTTTAAATTTTTAATGTTACCTAAGTTCACATCAAACCCTCAAATTCTCAGAATTGTAGCATTTAAGTTTTGAAATTTTTTCTTGTTGTAGAAAGAGAAAACAATGATCTTTAACAGAAACCAGTACCTCTAAAATCAAGCAAGGATTGCAAAACTGACAAGCACCACTAGACACTTGCTTTGTACAACTTCTTCAACAGCTGTGTGGGTACTCAGCAACAAGGTGGGTACTCAGCAACAAGCTTGGTTTCCTGTTACTAGAATATTTGATAAATACTGACATCAACAACATAAAATTAAGACTCTAGAAGGGTCATAAAGGTAATGAGTAAATACAGCCCTTCTGATTGCTATGGAAGATGCCTTCAGAATCTCATCTCCCTCCAGTACAACCTATCACTGACTCAAGGTCCTTTAAAGTGCTGTTTGTGAATGCCTTCCCTGAGAACTGCCTTCACTCTGAGTATCTCTTTCAATTAGTTAAGAGATGCAAGGAAAAAAAAAAAATCTCTTACCTTAGCAAAGTTAATTTTAGCTCTCACAAACCATGTTTAGAATGCAAAATTTTAATGAAGGCTGCTGCTGTGAAAACCAGAAAGGGCTTTGTAAGGGGGAAAAAGTACCTGAATTAAATTCTCTTTCATGACCTTGTGAAGTCAGTTCACCTCTTATAATCTAAAGTCCTGATCTCTAAGGTGGATATAACAATGGTTCCTTCCTTACATATGTGAACCAAATCTATGATTGAATTAAATGTACATAGCAGGGCATAACAGCCAATATATTAGAGTCCTTAAAATGGTACATTAGTAGCTATTTTTTATCCCTGTTATTACTATTAACAGTGGCTCTATAACTGAAATACATTTTAATCAAAAACAAAATACCACATTTATTCACATTTGAAAATTAAGTTGCTTGAATAGATTTTAATTTGTATGCTTCTTTGCTAACTATTTTGTTTATTTTAGTGAAACACTGAGAACCACCTACTCTTTTTTTCTTCAAGGAAATATTTGAATATAATTAAATATACTATACCTATGTGAAAAAAAGTAATCTTAATCCAAACACTCTCTCACATGATCACCTGTACTAAAGGGTTTACTTTTAATCCTATTAATTTAATTCTTTTTCCTGGGAAAGGTAATTTAATAGAGTAATGAGAATTATAAAATTTTGAGTCACACTGACTTCATAATCTACAGATTCCAAGATTTTAGATCACCTAATCTATCTTGTTTTATGTTCATCTCAGGCAAAGTGCAGATTATGGTAGTGTCTTAATTACTCTTTTGTTGCTGAGACAAAATACACAACACCCAAAGTTAAAGAGAGAAATGTTTCAGTTTGTAGAGGTTTCAGTCCCTAATCAGCTAGATCCAAGGCAGGCTGGCATGGCAAAGGGGTTTTACAGAGGAGAACCAGTTCATGACAAGCAGAAGACAGAAAAAGCAAGTAAAGGACAAGATAAACCTCTTTCTGTCCCTTATATTATCTCAAGACTATAGGGATTAGGGCAGTGCCTAACCAATAGGTGGGCTGATTTAGTGATCACCCACCCTTAATCCTAGCACCCTTAATCCTAACACGGCACCATAAATCAATCATGCACTCTAGATTCAGAAACCTCTGAAAAATCCCCACCTATGACTGCATGAGGCTTTGGGGGGACATCTAAATACAAGCCATAACAGTCACTATCTCTTCATAGGGATTTTGTTATAACTAGATTAATATTTTTAAAGAGTTGACAACAAATCATGCTAGAAATTAGTAGTTAACCAAAAATAAAAATAGTTTCTTTAATTTGTGAGAATTATGACTTTCTCTACTGTGTTGCCTGTGTACAACTGAGATTCTCAAGCAGGAAAACTTGGAGGAAAGGGAAGAGAAAGAGATCAGAGAATGCAGTGTTCAGTAGTTTCCAATCTGGGTTATTTCAAATGAGTATTTCAGAAATATATATCATAGGCATAAACATGAAATTCTATATTCAATCAGCTCAAAAGCAGAACTGAAGATTTGAAATCATACTAATTGGAAACTCACATATTGCCTGGTAGGTTTTATCTTATTGTTGTCCGTCTCCACTGATGTTTCTGTCAAGAAGTACAAAATTTAAACTCTTTGTGGGTTGAGTCTAGATGTCAACCAGAAGTACAGGCACCTATACTCTGTACAGACCTAGGGAGCAAAGGTTGCAGATGTAATTAACTCCAGAGCAAGAGTTCTCAGTTGTAGCACTAATGACATATGAGGCCACATAATGCTTCATTGTAGGTGCTCATCCTTTGCATTGTGAGATAACAATGTGTCTGGACTCTCTATGCAACTGTCCCCCAGTTATGACAACAAAAAATTTCTCCAGATGCTGTCAAGTGTTGCTTAGGAACCAAAATTTCACCTAGTGGAGATCAGCTGATCTAAACATATAAAATATGGTAAAACATATTTAATGTTTAATCTAAACATATAAAATATAGTATGTAAAAATTGAATAAACTACAAGGGACTATAAAATCTGTTTAATATAATTAATCATAATCTCTCTATACTAAAACCTTAAATAAAAATCACCAAATAGAATAAAGCAAGGAATTTAAATATTAACACAATCTAAACAAATAATATGAACATTAATGATGAAGGGTGTTTGAGATGAAGAAATCATTTGATGCAAAACATAATACAGATAGGTCAAATAAAAATAAAAGGACTTAAGAGTATTGCAGTTACTTCCAGAAGAGTATCTTTTAGAGTTCGAAAATTTTGTTTAAAGAAAACAAAAATATATATACAAACATTTATTTACATATACATATTAGAATATTTTTACAATATGTCAGAATGACTTTTTAATTGATTTATTAATGTAAAGCACTTCTTATATGTTTATAACAATTTATGTAACAATATAGGTGAGGAGTATAGCAAGTCATTTTCAGTAAACTAAGAGTCAAAAGGAAACCGTTAGCAAAAGTCAAAATGAGTATTGTTTCAAAATGTGAAACCATGCTTACTTAATAGGCCGATGTACTAAGCAAATGTCAGACTGAGGATTGCTTTTGATCACATTAAGGTCACTGGTGACCATGACATGAAATATTCCAGTAAAGTGGCACAATTGGGAGACAGAATGGCATGGACTACAGCACAAAGAAGAGAGGAAGCAGTTGAAACGATTCATCAGATGAATAATTATTCTGAGAGATTTAATCATGAAAGCCATTAAAGGCCAATCATTAGATCTTTTCTCAAAGACGGTTTTGCTGTGTTTCTAAAATGGATTAATATTGTGTTACACTCTTTATCTGATGGTAGCAATTCAGTGCAGAGAGGCCACGGCAAAGGAGAAATAAGAAAATAAAGGAATATGAATAAATGAATTTTGGACAGAGATGAAATACCGAAGGGAAGAAATTACACAGGGAGACAGTGCACCAATGGAGGTATGAGCCCAGGTCTGACATTTTAATAAAAAAATATCATCATAGAGGTCCTTACATTTGTAAATTTGGTGGGAGTGAAATGAGGAAATACTTTTCACATTGTGCAAATTGCTAAGAAGGAGCTGAGAACAAGGGAGAAGTAGATCTCTGAAAGGTTTGAAGAAAGACAAAAGATGTTGAGACAAAATTGAAAAATTACATTGTGCCAAGAAACTGTAGAGATTTTAAATAAAATACTTACAAAGAATGACTTAGTGTAAGTGGTATTGAAAAGAAGAAATGTATAAGCCTGTCTTTGCAGAAGGAAATGTTTGTAAGCTCAGGCCAAGTAATAGACTGTTACCTCCTTTACATACTATGTCTGTATTTGGTGTCACAGCTGGGCTAGATTTTGAAATATTGATCTGTGTGTTCTCAGTGTAGTTTCTGTACTCCTGATCCCTCAATGGGGGCTTGAGGGCCTCTTTTTCCTCTTTCATCAGCCAAGAAAAACACCTAAGAGACCACAGACCCAAGAACCAGGCAGAAAGATTCAGATGATAAGAAATGAAGTGAGTTGTGAACTGCTTGTAGCTTCTCATCAGTGGGAAGGTCTTCACTGAGTGGAAGGATGGGAGACTTGTACCCCTTGGGGTAAGGAATGGGAAAGTACATACACAATACTTGCTTCTTGACCAAGGAGAACTGAATTTAACTGTCTAGGAGTGTCCTTATTATTCAGAAAGCATGGAAATACTACCCTCTTGTGCATGCTTATTTGATTATTGTCACTTTGATTCTCTAATGATTGTCAATATTTGCATTCAAATAGGTTGGCTAACTGTGAAAAGTAATTTTGCATGTGTTTTTGACTTTACATGTACTCTGTCATTTTGCTCCATCCTAAAAATAAAGACCCAACTTATTTATATTTCTACCAGCAGTGAACGTGACAACCATTTCTGTAACTTACAGAATTATTTTGACTACTTTCTCATAAATTCTCAGTAAAAATGTATACCTTGTGTGGTATTGTTATATTTTGCAATTAATTTACATTTGTTTTATTTGTGGTCTATTGGTGTTCAATTAGTTTAAGAAAAACAAAGGGATATTTAAAATGCTTTACTATAATCATGCTGTTAATTGTGCTATTTATTTTTTTATTTTAAGAAATAAAAGAAGGAAACCATACTAACAAAGAGACATCCACTTACAAAATAGCATAAGAACAGTACAAACAAAACAGAATTACAGACAAAGTTGCAGGAAATTAACAATGGTGGTTGCATTACATATTGATATCTTCAAAGTGGTTTCTCAAGAAAACAAATAGAAACCTAAAAGATTGATCAAATAAGTAATCATTAACTGTTCCTTTCTGTAGAGCAATAGAAGACAGTAGTACAACTATGTTAGCTATCCTGTGTATACATACTTACACAATTTCCCCATCTTTCCCTTCTCTTTTCCCACACCCCAGTTGCCCTTTTGAGCATTTTCCTTTCCTTACTTTTGAGCATTTTCCTTTCATTTCACAATGTCTATCATACCTCCTAGATTTTATTCACTCTTTCAGGTCTTACACTAGCGAGACAATATGATGCTTACACATGCAGACCTGATTTATTTTACTTATGAGTATGGTCTCTAGTTATGACCATTTACCTATAAAAGCCTTGAGTTTATCTTTCTTTATAGCTGAGTAATATTCCATTATATAAAAGTACCACAATTTTTTAATCCAATTCTCAGTGGATGAACATTTGAGTTGCTTCCACAGTTTAGCAATTATACACTGAGCCGCTATAAACATGGGTGCACATATATTGCTATGATATGGTGTTTTCAGATATTCTGGGAAAATACCCAGAAGGGGAATAGCTTGGTTAGATGCCCAAGTCGCAATTTGCTTCCTTTCCAAATGGGTTATCTTAGCCCAGACAGTCTCGACACTCATTTGAAGACAGATACAGGACAGACTTACCTCCTCCTTAGGAAATGAGCTTTCTTTTTAAACTTGTGGCTTAATGCCTCATGGATCTTGAGGTACACGCAAGGAAAAGCTGTTTCTCTCCAAGTCATCTTGTTCCATAAATGGTGACTTCTCTGCACTGGTTTCTCAATCAGCCGGCTTCCTCCGGCTGTCTGTGCTCTAGGCATTCTTTGACGTGTCCCAAGTACAATTTCTCACTTTCAAGTGCTCTTCAATTATGCTCATTCTACCATCAGCTTATTTAATCCTTTTTTACTTTGATCCCATAAATTTGTTTTAATTTGTACTCTTTCTACTATTTCTGGTTCATATAAATCTGTTCCCTCTTCATATGAACTTTCTGTATAGAAGAAATAATTTAATTACGTGTAAAGTTTCACATAGTTTACGCTGTGGATAGTTTCACTGAACAGCAGCTCTGTTTATTTTGGGCGGTGATCTTCCCCACATGGCATGTGAAGTTTTGGATGTCCATTTTTTTTTCACTACAGTAGACATGAGTAAAAATCCCCTTTGCCTGCTGAGAATATATGTTCTAGGTATTCAGAAGCTGTCAATAAGTTGGGGTGGGCAAGGAGAGTATCTCCTACTTTCCTAGCTCTGGATTTCACTACGCACCAGCTTCATTTGCAAATCTAACCAAAAGCCAGAAGTTTGCATCTGCTTTCCTTCTCACTTGTTCTGCTATGTGCGTGGCGGTTTAGAGATTCTGATCCTTTCTGCTTCCCAGTAGTCATGCTGAGGGTTCTCCCTAGGAAGACACATCACCAGCTTCTAGACCATTTGGGTCAATCACAGAAGGCAGAGAAGATCAGCAGAGGAAATACGTAGGTGGATGGAGGGTGAGTATCTTTCTTTAACTTTTCATGATGCACATTTCCTTCTGAACACTTTGTTCACTGCATTGAATCACCAGTAAATTATTAAGACTTATTAGTTAGTCCATTTTGCAGGTAAGGAAAAGAAGACCTTGTCTTCGTCCCTCTAGGCTGCTACAGCAATCTACAGTAAACTCAACAGATCTTTATATTTTCTCAAAGGAAGGCTGACACATCCAAAGTCAAGTATAGACAAATTCTGTGTCTAGCGAAGGCCTATTTCCAGGGTCACGGATCACACCATCCTTGCATTTGCACATAGTCCAAGAAATGGTCAAGCATTCTGGATTCATTTTATATTAAGGGTCTTAATCCCAATTCTGAGGGTGGAGCTGCTCCAAATCACCTCCAAAGCCTTATCTCTAAATACTCTCATATTTGGGGCTAGGATTTCAACATGAACATGACAAGGAATAAATATTCAGTCCATTGCACACACATAAGTCCACTACATTGTCAAGTTCAAAGGAAAATCCACATTTAGCATTTAAATTCATTTTTTATTCCAAGCCAAGCCTTTTGCCAGAGAAGGAAGCCAATAGATGTCTGAGCCACAGTTGGGCAGATTTTTCTAAACTTAATGAACATCCTCTGTAGTCCAGATTTATGGGACCTCTTCTAACTTCTTTCTGGGTAGTCTTAATTGTAGACAGGGAACAGTTTACCAGTGAAGAAAAGTGTGATTCTGGCAGATATATTAAATAGATCATATTTTCAAAAATAAGAGATAGCCACTGACTTGAAGTTATTTATCTATCCAGATTAGGAATTTTTATTTAGTTCCCTTCACCCCCAGATGCATGTGAGAGATATGACGGTGATATTTGGTATTACCAGACACTATCACACATTACTCTTCTGGTAGTACTGATCAACCTATATTTCCTTAATCTCTCGCTATTCCTTATATATCCTCTCTG